ACCCAGAGATATTTTGCTCGTAAAATGTTCCCCAGCAGTACGCCTGAATTCGATTACTCGATTTCAAGCCGATCCTAAAATGACCGGATTAGCTCGGGAGGAAAGTGGTTCAGAGAAGGAAATATACATCTGTGTGACGGTATGCCCCAACGTGTCATCAGGAGGTCGATAGCGAGCATAACTCGACGTACAAATAACGGGTAATGTTACTTCATTATACATTTGAGGGGTGCCTGAGAGTTGCTAATATGCAAGTAGACAGATTGAAGACAGCTGCGCGACTCGGACGGACCAATGGTGGCTAACTCTGGACAACACTAATAGCCATAGCAACAAGACAGAGTCAACTGTACAGTAGTGACCAGGTGATTGATGATGGGAGGATAAAAAGGAGTGAAAAATTGGATGAATTGCATAACACTAAACCCAATTCAGAAGTCAATGAAGAACCTCTATCTCGGAGATCAATACAGTAATTCCTAGTAAATTCCCTGCTTCATCTTTTAATGTCAGCAGATGCAAAGGGAGAATAACATGTAAATCAAAAAAAACTTGTTGTAGTTAAAAGGGACTAAAAATTGAAGGAGATTGTGACATATTGCAACTGGGTGAATAAAGTACTCAAGAAGAATGCTTGCACCCTCAGAGTGCCCAATCAGCACATGTTGGATCTGGTTAGGGCTCACGGAATACTTCACCGTCATTTTATTCGAATCCTTTACGGGGACATAAAAAGTACCCACTACTAACGAGTCCTAAACAGGACGAAACAGCTGTCCCGTGTGCCATGTCGGTCATCACATAGCATTGTACTTGTTACCTGTTTAGTCTAATGGTGGTCGGACGTACGGAACTTTGATAGAAGCCGGCAGTAAAATAGGGGGGGTTGAGAAAATCTACCATCAAATCAGATGACGACAGTTGGATTAGAAAGAAAAGTTGAACCGGTGGAACCTATTCCAACAAGAACAGTTTCGCTAGTGGTGAACGACTAAAAGCTTTTGGGAAGTTTAGTAGACCCAGGGGTGATACACCGTGACTATTGACTGAAGCCGATCACTAATAAATGACCAATACCAGTTGATCGTCAACGAAACTCTTATCGGCGATCACTTCCCGTTTAAGACGAAAACGAAATAGATTATCAGTAGCAGTTTTCAGAACTTTCAAAATGAGAACAACACTTGCAAACTGTGACAGGTATCCGTATGTGCATCACGTGTCCTGACCTGCACGTTGAGCCAACTAGATAACAAATGTTCCGCCGAAATACGGTACATTAACTCTACAGTGTAAATCGAGCTAAGTGATCTAACTCGACTAAGGAGTTAACTCAGAGGCCATCATTGTTGTTGCTGGTGACTAGAGTGCCTTAAGAGAAGCTCCAGGAAGAATCAGAAGAGGGTTTGTGACTCAACGAGCCAGCAAAACGGACATCTTCCACAACCATGCATGGATTGCGGATAGTTTCTGAGTGATGGAGGGGGGACTTATCACATGGTATTACTTTATGCGGCACTTTCCCGATTCGCCTCGGTGACGGACCCAGAGATTCCATCGACCATCGCTGGTCTGGGTTCTATGGATGTTTGCCGCTCCTAATGGACCACACAAAAGGCCACAAATCATCTTCTGGCGTGGGCCATATTTTATATTAAACCTAGCACAAAACTGTAGCTACGTGTGAGTGACGGCTGAAAGCCGTACTTTGAAGCTAAGATTCTTAAACACTTCTCCATGAAAGTAAATGTCGAAGAATAAGGCGACCATTTACGTCTAATCTAGGAAGCCATAACAATTTGTTTCCGCACAAGAATGGACCCTGACGCACGACCAAAGCATAGACGGTGGGTCCCTGAAACCTCCGAATTCTCGCAGAATACAGGCAGAACCTCTGAAGAGATGAAAGGCAATGCCACAAACAATCCCTTAAATGGCAACTGACCGAGGGGCTGTAAGAAGGTACATAAATTTGTGGCTACTGGTGAGTCACAGCGTTTCTAGTGTGCGCATTTACAGTTCACACGTATGTGAATACAGATGCCGTGAACCATATACTTCACAATAATCCTTATCACGGAGTAGAGATTACATGGTTTACCGGTGGGCGCGAAAGGGCTTGGTTTACCAGGCCAAAGCAAGTGAATAGTGATAGTCTTGGAGAATTCACAATCGGAGCCTTTTGCTAACCGAAGTCTGAGCCGCAAAGCATTGGGGCGGTGCGAAAACCGCGATTCATTGAGAGCCTGTGTTCAGTTCATCGGATCACGTACCCTTTAGATGGCGGCAAACGCCGGAAATGCCCGTTCATCTCGATGCCCCATCGAGCCGGTGCCACAACCTGAAAGATGTGGGTGTGGGTTAGTAAGTCTCTTCTTCATTAGTTTATAATGAAGGATTTTAACCAGTTACCCGAGGTGGACTGCCAGTAGTTCACCGACTCGGTTATAACCCCGGATGTTGGCTTTTTGTTCGCTCACTTTAGTTATCAGTAATGGTTAGAACATTTTCCGACATAAAACATCAAATATCTTAGTGTCTCCTAAAATCATCAGTTCCTCTGAGAACGGGTGAAGTCTTGTTCTCACGCTCAAAAAATTTTATCACGCAGCGCATCACTTCATGTATCTGTTAGAAATTACACTGACTATCTCCTCATCGAAGTGATTTAATTAATGCCTCGGTAAAAACCCATCACTCGGACAGATGAGCTACAAGTAACTAGCTAAGTTAGGTCAATTTTAAAAAAACCCTCATCGTAAAAGTAGGCGTTAGAACTGATTACAGGACACCCTGGCAGTGGAATTAATTGAGGGTAGACCAAAACCACATCTAATATACGTAATCTTTGGCTAGGTGGATGTTGGCCGCTAGTTAACTGGACCCGCAGATGAGGCATCGGTTAGCCGAGAGTTCCTCATTTACTCCTTAGGAGAATTACCTGCTAATATAGTCAGCCCAATATGGGGAAATGGCTCACCCGAACAGATCACAGAATGAATTGTTTGTTCACTCAACGTGTTTTCTTTGGCACGAAATGGAACCAGATTACGGTGGACTACATACTTCTTAACAGGAGCTACGAGTGAAAATTTTCATTTTGCCAAATTCCGAAACACTTACCACGCACATCCACGGTAGACTCATTGTCTCAGTCTGAGCGATAACCTAACTTTGTTCTGCATGTATTATGTGCCTTCAAAGATCACAAAGGTGATACCGGATTTGGGTTGGTCACACCTCCAATATGACTTTTATCAGCTAACAGAATAAACCAAGTCTTTATTACACACCCTTATGATGAACAGCAGAGGGGATAAACCCTAAAGTTACGAGGACTCGTTGTTCACTCATGGAAACCGGCTATATAAGCCCAGAAAGTGGCGAACCACACAAGGTCGCACAAGGTCGGGTGTAGTATTGAGCCCGATGACAGTGAAGCTGTCTACTATGAAAGTTGAATGGCGGTGGCGGGGTTCGAGCCTACGACCCAGAGTAAACCAGTGACAGCGACTTGA